TTCCGCGTCGCTATTCGCTCGCACGATGTCGGCATCGCACGCCACCTGCTTCCGCACCTGGTGCTGCACTCGATCATTTCCGGCGATGTGGCAGACCGCGAAGCCATTGTCGACGAGATGCAGACGATCCTGCAGGACCAGGTCGAGAGCCGCACCAGCTACGATCCGGAGCGCAAGCTGCTGACGGCGCAGACACTCTTCACGATCATGGACCATATCGGAGTGTGGATGCGACGCAAGCGGCAGGATCTCGCACGCACCTCGCGTCGGCCGAGGATTGCTCAAGGTGGGGAAGACCTGCTGGTCGGGGTCGAGTCGACAATGCTGCGTATCCCCCAAGAGCTGTTGGCACAGGCGTCGTTGCAGTGCAAAGCATACTCGCGTGCGCTGCTCAATTTTGAGCTTCGGGTGCGAACGATGCGAGTGCAAGGCAAGGGCGATCATGACTTGCAGAGCTACTACGAAAACATGCATCGTATCTATGCCAACCTCGACGAGCCGGACGGCATGGAAGGCATCTCGACCCGGGTCATTTCTCCGTCGCTCGAGCATCAAATCCGCGAGCACGAGAGCACGGGTCGATGGACCTCGGCACAAAGCTGTTGGGAGGTCGAATTGCAGCAGCGGCCCAACGATCCAGAGCTCCATCTCGGCTTGCTCCGCTGCCTCCGCAACTTGGGCCACTACGACACGATGCGCACTCATATCCGCGGTGCCCTGAGCGCACACCCAGAGTGGGAAGATCTGCTGGACGCTTTCCGAGTGGAGGGTGCATGCATCCTCGGCGACTGGGACGAGGTGGAAGCGCGCACGCAGCGCAGTCAAGCAAAAAGCGCCCAACACTCGATCGGTCGAGCGCTGCTGGCCATGCGGCAGAGCGACGCCGACATGTTTGGCAACGTGCTGGTTCAAGCACGCCAGGATCTGGGCAAGCCGTTGGTGGCGGCGGGTACAGCCTCCTACCCGTCTGTGTACGACTCTGTCTTGCACCTGCACATGCTGCAAGAGCTCGAGATGATCCGATCGCACGCGGGTAGACACAGCGGCAGTCGAGCGGTCACCCGAGCCAACTTCTCCGACACGGTGTCCGATCTGAACAAATCTCTGACGGCCCGTCTGAACGCCACGCTGCCTTCCTTCCGAACGCAGGAGCCGCTGCTAAGTCTGCGGAGGACGGCCTTCGCAGCGCTGCGATCGTCGCTCGGTGGCGGCAACGAGGTGGGCGAAGCGTGGATCGCCACGGCCAAGATCGCTCGCCGAGCCGGTCACATGCAGACGGCCTATTCGGCGACACTGCAAGCAACGCAGAACCAGGCGACGTTTGCGTTTGTGCAGCGCGTCAAGATCCTCGCCAAGGAGGAGCAGACGCATGCTGCAATCCGCGATCTGGTCAATTCGCTCAACACGCTCGTCAGCAGCTTCAAGCCTACAGAGCACGGGGATACCGGCAGGTCGAGCGTGATCGAGCTGCAGGGCACGGATGCGGATGGGAGGACGGTGCGGATCGATCGAGATGCCTATGCCAAGGCGTGCCTGCTGCGGGCGCGGCTGCAGGACTCGACCTTCCGGTACACGGCCAACGAGATTCTGGATCGATACAAGGAGGCCGCCAAGGAGCAACACGACTCGGAGAAGATGTGGTACCACCTCGGACACTTCCAAGACACGCACGAGGGCCTGCTTCCGAACATGGCGATGCAGCGCTACAACGTGTGCCGAGCCTTCCTGCGATCGGCTCAGGTGGGCACCAAGTTCTTCTACCGCACCCTGCCGAGGGTGCTGACCATCTGGATGGATATGGCCGCCGACGATCAGATCCTCAACTTCAACAAGAAGGGCCCCACCGCCGATGCCGAGCTGGCGCAAAAGTTCGACGCGTTTGCGCAGCTCAATATCCTGATGAAGAGGTACAGCCGCAAGCTCAAGCCGTTCCAGTGGCTCGCCGTGTTTCCGCAGCTGGTTGCGCGCATCGTGCAGAAGAACGAGGATGCATGGATGGTGCTGCAGGACATGATTCTGCAGGTGCTGCTCGCCTACCCACAGCAATCCATGTGGTCGATGGTGGCGGGCGCCAGCTCCAAGGACGCCGAGAGGAAGCGACGCTACAACGAGATCATCCAAAGGCTGGGTAGCAAGGGTGGCGCGAGCCACAAGGAGGTGGTCAAGGTGGTGGCGTCGTCGCAACGACTGGCCAAGGAGCTGCTGCGGCTGTGCGACTACAGCGTAAGCAAGAACGAGACGGTGCTGAGCATGGACAAGCTCTTCCCCGGCTTGCTCGAGGTGGCAGGCACGTCGGAGCTGCTGCTGCCGCTGCAGAGCTCGATGACGGTGCTGCTTCCGTCGAATCATCTGATCTCGGAGATGCATCGACCGTTCCCGTCGAATCTGCCGACGATCCGGACGTTTGACGACACGATCGAAGTGATGAACAGTCTGCAGAAGCCGCGCAAGCTGATGATCGTGGCGAGCGATGGCAATCGCTATCCGTTCCTGTGCAAGCCCAAGGACGATCTGCGCAAGGATGCGCGGCTGATGGAGTTTGACTCGATGATCAACAAGCTGCTGCAGAGCCAGCCCGAGTCGCGTAAGCGCAAGCTGTACGTGCGGACATACGCGGTGCTTATCCTGAACGAGGAGCACGGCTTGATCGAGTGGGTGCCGCACACGGTGGGCTTCCGACACATCCTCACCAAGCTGTACAACGGCAAGGGGATGCAGATCTACAACAGCGAGGTCAAGACGCACATGGACGAGGCGCGCATCTCGCCGGATGCACGGACGACCGAGAAGATCTTCCAGGACAAGGTGCTGGCCAACTTCCCGCCCGTCTTCCACGAGTGGTTCCTGGCGACGTTTCCGGATCCGACGGCGTGGCTGCAGGCGCGCTCGGCGTATGCGCGGACGGCGGCGGTCATGTCGATGGTGGGCTTTGTGCTCGGACTGGGAGACCGGCACGGCGAGAACATTCTGTTTGACTCGAACAGCGGCGATACGGTGCACGTGGATCTCAACTGTCTCTTCGACAAGGGCCAGCGCTTCGAGATTCCGGAGCGGGTGCCGTTCCGGCTGACGCAGAACATGGTGGATGCGATGGGTGTGACGGGATGCGACGGAGTGTTCCGCAAGAGCGCCGAGATCACCATGAGCATCCTGCGCGACAACCGCGACTCGCTGATGAGCGTGCTCGAGGCCATGGTGCACGATCCGCTGGGCGAGTGGAGCGGACCGGAGGAGCGGCATCGGAGCAAACACTCGTCGTCGAAACGGCAAGACCCGCGCGTGGTCGAGGCGCGTCGCGCGCTGGATCCCGTGGCGCACAAGCTGGACGGACGCATCTATCGGCTGGGCTCGCGCGAGCCGACGCCGCCGTACACGACCAACAACCTGGTGGACGCGCTGATCAAGGAGGCCACGAGTCCGGTCAATCTGGCCAAGATGTACATCGGCTGGAGCAGCTGGCTTTAGCGCGCACACATGCGCATGCAAATCAACTCGTTGCATCAAGCGACCGAGACTCGTCAAGCGACACAGCAGACGATCGGGGGAAAAGCGCGGGGTGGGAAGGATCGACGGTGCGTGTTTTGATCGCGACGCGGCGAGGAGCTTCACTTTTGCGGAGATGAGTGGATGTGAGCTGCGCTGTCGATCTGTCAACATGTGGACATCGATAGCGCTCTGTCGAGCGTGGAGAGCGCGGGGGATGGCGAAGCATGGCGAGCGGGAAATTTAACGCTCAGCTCGGCTCGGCTTGGTGCTGTCGACCCATCGATAGACGCGGCCACGCCGAAATCAAACAGCACAATCACTCTCGCCGGTCATGTTTGTGTGTTCTTCAGCAGCTGCCCGATGCTTTCTTGTTACGAGGCGGCCCTGTCCGTGCTGAGAGGATCGGAGCTTCGGATCCAGCCGAGGAGTGCCAAGCCGGGCGGCGGCCGACTGCACTCTGTCACGCCGTGTCAAAAGATCGCCGCACGCCAGATCGATAGCTGCAGCTAGCTGTCAGGGCCTCCTCGCGTGCGGTCTCGTCGGCGCTTGGCCGTCTCGGTGGCTTCAAAATTGCAACGGTCAATTTCTCTCCCTCCTGCACAATCCCGCCTGCCCACTTGGACCGACGTTCGGTCGGGCATCCGTGTGGGGCAAAGCGAGCAGCAAGGGCAAATTCTTCCCCAAAAAAGTTGACTGCTGAAGCTCGAACCACAGCCGATGCCGAAGTCCGGATCGCACCACCCTGCGTGGGCGTGCCGAAGCCCTTTCTCAACCGTATGTTGCCCACTCGCCGGCGTTGTGATCAATTGGATAGTGTGGGCTCGACTGTCTAGGCACAGCGTTGAGCGACAAACCTTGGACAAACCTTGGCCGTTTCGGTGGTTTTGCTTGGATGGCCCCGCCGTATTTCGATTTGCAGGGTGCAGGCGTGGGGGACGTTGTGTGCAGCGTGTTGTGAATCTTTTGGTGCAGTGGGCGGGCTGCTGCGCACCCATGCAGCGTGGGCTGCAAGCCTGACTACGACGCGCAGTTGGACTGGCCCGGTGCGGCTGCCGAATTTTGGTTCGGTAGAATCGCGAGCAGCAGAGCAGCAGCAGCAGCAGCAGCAG